AACTAAAATTTTAAATTTTATTTAGCCTTATCTATTATTATGTCACATCCTTGGTCCTATGCCAAAATTCTCTCGATTTTTCTAATTTTTAATTAAAGGAACTCTTTTATCTAAAATTATAAATTTATATATATAATATTAATATTAATATATATGATTTTTATAACTAAAAATTTATATAATTAAGTCATGTTTTCTAAGTAACTTTTATACATGTAGATTTTTCATAACAAAATTAATAAAATCGTAAACATAATATTGAATCAATTTTTTTATAAATTTTAGTAGTATTTTATTTTGAAAAATTTAATCATTAATTCATAATATAAATTTTTTGAAACTAACTTATTTAATTAATGAAACTGTGGGGGATTTAATTAGAATAAAATCAATTACAAAAATTTAATTCAAAATCGAGGAAAATTACAACAACTTTCAGATTATTTGTCTTTCTATTAACAATAAAAGAATTAAAATGCAATGCTAGAGTTTATTATTCAAGGTGAAAGTCCAAATTCAGAATAAATTTTGTTTAGTGGTTTAAATTTTGCGAATAAAAATATATATTAAGAGGAATACTTATAACGAAACTTGATCCGTTGCTGTATGATCCAACCCAGTAATGTTGACAGGGAACAAAAAAGTAAGTTTACTTTTTTTTAAAAAAAATTGCAATTATACTAATTAAGTTTTAAAATATTTATGACATTTTAATTTTATATATTAGTTTCTAAAATGATGATTAATGTGGTAAAAGTATTATTTTGCATATTATCCTGATCTTATTTGATTTTAGGAATTTTAATTATTTCCTATGGACATAAAATTTAAAATAATTAAAAGGACATTTATTAATAGTAAAATTTTTTTAGAGATTACTAAGATTTACTTTTCTTATTCTATTTAATATGCACAAATATTTATAATTTTTTTTTATCTATTAAACTGTCCATCATATCAATGTAGCTTTAAATATTTAATATTATATATATAATTAAATTCATGTACTTTTTAATAATTAAATGTTTAGAAGTGCTTTTGATTCATATCATTCAAATAATTGTCACTGTCAATTCGCTAAACTAATTTTTTTTAAAAAATATATTCGCACATACATTTCATGAAATTATTTTGCTATGAACAATTTTTTTTATAAATTAAAAACTAAAAATAATCATCAATTAAAAGTTAAAAATAATCAGTAAGGGATGAATTGGCAGAAGCTTCGAGAATCCCCGTCGGCTCCCAGAAGTCTCTGGGACCTTTCCCCTAAACCCGAACGCCACAACATATCTCCTCTGCCTCGAAGCTCTCGGGTGTGCCCTGCTGTCGTGCTGCTTCCAATTCTAAACTCCCAACTCGTCACTCTCTCTTTCACTGCCCCTTTCCATGGCCGACGAAGCCAAGGCCAAAGGTAATGCCGCCTTCTCATCCGGTGATTTCGACGCCGCTATCCGTCACTTCTCCGACGCCATCTCTCTCTCCCCCAATAACCATGTCCTCTACTCCAATCGATCGGCCGCTTATGCCTCCCTTCACAAATACTCCGAAGCCTTAATCGATGCCAAGAAGACCGTCGAGCTCAAGCCTGACTGGTCCAAGGGCTACAGCCGTCTCGGCGCCGCTCATCTCGGACTTGGCCAGCACGACGACGCTGTCGCTGCTTACAAGAAGGGCCTTGAGATCGACCCCAATAATGAACCGCTCAAATCCGGTCTGGCTGATGCGCGGGCCGCGGCCTCCAGGCCCCGTTCGGCGCCGCCCATGGGCAATCCTTTCGGGGACGCTTTCTCCGGACCCGAGATGTGGGCGAGGCTCACTGCTGATCCCACAACTAGAGCATATCTGCAGCAACCTGATTTCGTGAAGATGATGCAGGATATTCAGAAAAATCCCAACAATCTCAACTTGTACATGAAAGATCAAAGAATCATGCAAGCCCTTGGGGTTTTGCTCAACCTCAAGATTCGCACCCCGAGCGAGGACACTGACATGCCCGAGTCTTCCTCTCCGCCCCAGCCAGCAGAGAGGAAGAGAGCTGCTGAAGCTGAACCGGCGAAGGAAGAGAAGCAGCCGGAGCCCGAGCCCGAGCCCATGGAATTGACGGAGGAGGAGAAGGATGCAAAGGTCAGAAAAGGTCAGGCTCAGAAGGAAAAGGAGGCGGGCAATGCGGCTTACAAAAAGAAGGATTTTGATACGGCAATCCAGCATTACTCTAAGGCTATGGAATTGGATGATGAGGATATATCATTTCTCACAAACCGTGCTGCTGTTTACTTGGAAATGGGGAAGGTACGTCCGTTGGCTTATATTCTTTTTTCTTTTTATTTTTGATAAGATTTGGCTTGTATTCTAAATGATTGGTGTTCATTCAAGTTAATTTGAATGGGCGTGGGTTAACGGACGGAAGTGATTAATGCGTAGTTTTCATGCCACTGTATCTGAGGGTCCTTGCTGTTATGGTGCTGAAGGTATTATGGATTTTAATCCCACTTCTAAGGAAGTAGCTATTAGTGTGATCCCGTGGTGGTAGTGGTATAGATGTCCACCAATTCATGTGCCTAGTAGACGTAAGGCTGAGGATATTTGAGACTGCTTTTCACGTGACAGAGTAACTATATCGAATCAGCTCATGTTTGGGGTGCCTGCATGTTTGAATTGATGTTTGATTTTCTTTAGCGTTTATGTGATACCAGAATAGCAAGGGAGTAGGGACAGTAAAAAAAATGTTTTTTTGTTTGTTTGGTGTGGTTTCAAAACTATCCTCCAATCACAGTTAGAAGAATGCATAAAAGATTGTGACAAGGCTGTAGAAAGGGGAAGAGAGTTGAGATCAGACTTTAAGATGATAGCAAGAGCTTTGACAAGGAAGGGAGCTGCCCTGGTGAAAATGGCAAAATGCTCAAAGGATTATGAATCTGCCATCGAGACTTTCCAAAAGGCACTTACAGAGCATCGCAACCCTGACACGTTGAAGAAATTGAATGACGCTGAAAAAGCTAAGAAAGAACTTGAACAGCAAGAATACTTTGATCCAAAATTGGCTGATGAGGAGCGTGAAAAAGGTACCCTCTCTTTTAGCCTGCTCTCCATGCTCCTCCTTCTTGAGTAAGGCTGAGCTTTTTTTCCTCCAGAGAAGTATCCCTTATCTTGTATTGAATGCAATCATCAATGTGCAGGTAATGATTTCTTTAAGCAGCAAATGTATCCCGAAGCTGTGAGGCATTACACCGAGTCTTTAAGAAGGAATCCTAAGGATCCTAGGGTAATATTACTTGTTAAATGGAGCTCACGTTTGCAATTTAAGCAAATGCAGGGACTAATGTGGATTTAATTTCCTATCTTCTTCAGACATACAGTAACAGAGCTGCAAGCTACACAAAACTTGGGGCAATGCCTGAGGTTTGAAGGATGCAGAGAAATGCATTGAGCTGGATCCAACTTTTGTAAAGGGTTATACTAGAAAAGGTGCCATACAGTTTTTCATGAAAGAATATGACAAAGCTTTGGAAACGTATCAGGAGGGGTTGAAACATGATTCAAACAACCAGGAGTTGCTTGATGGCATAAGGAGGTATTTGGTTATGTTACATTCCTGGTGTTTGTTGGTTTCAGTTTTCTGCTTTATGCATACGCTCTACGAGAGTAATTGTCTTTACATTAATATCTATTTCAGATGTGTAGAACAAATTAATAAGGCCAGCCGTGGAGACATAAGTCCTGAGGAGTTGAAGGAGAGACAGGTGGGACCCAATTGTTTTAAATAAAACAATTTTTTGCAGAAACTGTTTCGAGTTTGAATTTTTCTCCATCTATGTGGTCTTCACTTTTTGTGTGCCTCCAGGCCAAGGCAATGCAGGACCCGGAGATACAGAACATCCTCCAGGATCCTATTATGAGACAGGTGTGCTACCCATATGGCGCGCCTCTTGATGCGTGTTAGTGTATGGCGTTGGTGTAACAGGAATGAGCTGTGCTTATGTAATTTGTGGGTGGTGCATGCAGGTATTGGTTGATTTTCAGGAAAATCCCAAGGCTGCCCAGGAGCATACAAAGAATCCAATGGTGATGAACAAAATCCAGAAGTTGGTCAGTGCTGGAATTGTCCAGATTAGATAAATTGGATGGGATGTGCATGGGGTGCAGTGCATGGCTGATTTCAAATGTAGATTGGATCGGAAAATGGATAAAACAATTTACGGTTTGGAACTTCTAAATCACTTGATGCTTTCATATTGTTTTTGTGAGCTTTATAAAAATTATGAATTTCTGTGCCTCAACTTCAAATCCCGTTCTTTTTTCGCCTTTTTTTTTTTTAACCGGCCCGAGAGTTGTTATTTTATGCGTATTAAGCGTTCAAGTTTTAGCGAAAGCAACATCGGCAACTTGCATTTGTGGAGGAATTTTTTTTAAGGGTTTTTTAGTAGACGTTTTTGGTTCTGGTTTTATGATCAATTAGTCACCAGAAGTTTCAAATTTAAGTAATGATAGTGTGGTCCAGATAATTATAATTATAATATGTCGCATGTTTTCAAGAAGAAAATGAAATATTGCTTAACAAAATATATTATATTGGCAAATAGATATTTAATATTTTTCATAGAAAGCTCAAAAGCAACATTCACCCAAAAAAAAAAAAAAGGAAGTGCATTTTTAGTTTGGAGGTTTTGGAAGATCTCATACTCAGTATCTTGTTATAGTTCAATACACGGTGATGAAGTCCCCTATCTGTTCATCAATATTCCTACCTGTTGCCTTGTCAACTTGATTAAGCCAGCAGCCAGATTATGGCGGCTAGTGTAGGTTGACACCGCATTTTTAGAACGTTTTTCCAGCCGATATTTGAAAAGTTTGCTTGTAGAAACGTACAAAAAATCATTTGTAGATGAGTGAAATGTAAGTTTATCCTGATAGAGATCATTTTGGTTATTAATTATTCGTCCGATGTCCCCGATAGCACTGTTGTCTGGTGATTCATTATTTCTTAAGCTTGTATTAAATGGACCCAATAAAGTTTAACTTGACCTATTGAGTTGAATTAAATTGAGAAACAGGTATATAATTCGAACAAATTTAATAATCGTGTTTCCAATAAGAATCGGGGTAGATATCCAATTAAACATATAAGTAAACATTTTTACCCCCAGCAGAAGCAGTTCACGTTGTAAAAGAAATTCCATGTAAGGATGAGACGAAGGAATTACACGATGCAGCGACTGATTGGCCTTAAAAACATCTTCAAACAACCTGTTGGTCTGTCACAACAATGTTGACTGAATGGCTCAATGCCCTAAAGCAAGGTTAATGGTATAAATTTTATGAATAAAAAAATATATTAGGAAAAATACTTCTAATTAAATTTGATATTGCTCAGATATGATCCAATAATACCAGAAACATGTACAAGAGAAGTACGTTTAATTTTCAACAACTAAAATAAATTGAAATTATATTAATTAAAATATTTTAAATCTGACTCATAATATGACAATTATTTAATTAATACAAGCCAGTTTTCATTAAAAAAAAATTAAAATTAAAATATTCAAAACTAATTTTGGATTTTACCTAACTTGACTTCGACAACAATATTTGTATATTATAAATATATTTAATAACAAAGAATGTATAGACATAATAAATTTAGTAATATTTTAAATAAAATAAATTAAGATTGTAGCCCCCAATAAATAATCTCAAAATAAAAACTCGAGAGATTCAGGGCATACTTGCAAGTGCCTATTCAGAAAGTTACAAACATGCTGCATCTCCTCCCAACTAGGAAGCCGCCGCATATCTGACGCCACAAAATTATGAATAGCCCCATCAATGGAGACACTACTTAGACCAACGGTCTTCTTAAGTCCCTTACCCTCCATGAATTCTCTAATGTGATCTGAATAGCTCCACCTGCCACATGCAGCATAAACATTGGACAGCAAAATATATGCACCTTCTTTATCAGGCTCCAAGTCTAGCAACTTTGTCAATGCCATCTCAGCCAGTTCTACATTTCCATGACCTCTACAAGCACTCAACATAGCCCCCCAAACAGATCGACTTGGTTTCATTGGCATTGTGTCAAGCACAACCTTGGCCTCAGCCAACCTCCCTGATCGCCCTAAAAGGTCAACCAAACACCCATAGTGTTCCACTCTGGGTTCAATATCAAAAATTGCTTTCATATCGTGAAAAACTTTTATACCTTGATCCACGAGGCCACTGTGAGCACAAGCTGTAAGAATGGCTACAAAAGTTACCTCATTTGGCTTTACAGACTTCTGCATTTCAGCAAACAGTTCCAGAGCTTTGCTTCCGAGACCATGGAATGCAAATCCAGTAATCATCGTTGTCCATACAACAACATCTTTTTTAGGTAGTTCCTGGAAGATGGTCAATGCACTTTTTACATTTCCACACTTGCAGTACATGTCTATTAATGCTGAACCCGTAAATGCATCCATCTTTCTTGTCTTCTTTATTACCCAGCCATGCACCGATTTCCCTTGATCCAGTACTCCAATCTCTGCTGCAGCACAGATGAAGCTCACCATTGTAAGGCGATCAGGACTCACATTATGGGCAAGCATGCTCTTAATCAACTCAACTACCATTGAATAATAACCATTTTGAGCATATCCAGCAATCAAAGAGTTCCATGAAACAAGATCTCTGCAAGGCATTTGATCAAAAAAGTCATGAGCAAGTTTGAGTTCCCCAGACTTGACACAACCTACAATCAAGGTATTCCAAGAAATAACATCCTTCTTTGCTAACTGATTGAATGTCTTTCGTGCAAGCTCCAATTCTTTGAATTTTAAGTACATATCAAGAAGAGCATTCCACAAGATTAAATATGAAGAACCAATATCTTTCCTCCTTTGGATCCATGCATGAACAGATTTTCCCAACTTTACATTTCTTAGCTCACGGCAAGACACAATAAGACCTAAAATGGTAAAGTCATCAGGTTCAACACCCAAATTCACCATTCTGTGGAATAACTGCAGCGCTTTTGCACCAAACCCATGCTTGGCAAAACCAACAATGGTGATATTGAATGAAACAGAATCTGGAGCACGCATATGATGTAGCAGCCGAAGTGCAATCTCCAAATTTCTGTTATCCAAGTAAACTTTTATAAGAGTATTTTGTAGATAACCTTGGGGAAACAAACCTGTAACAATAGCATGACAATGGATTTGCTTGGTTTCCGCCATGCACTTGGTAGAATGTAGTAGTCTACATAGTGTGTGCTTATCTGGTAGCACATGATCACGTAGCATTGCATTGTATAAAGCAAATGACTGACTTGTTGAAAATGATAATGCAGAAATCATAGTGTTGTAGATAAAGAGATTGGGATGAGGAGTAAAGTGTTCAAATAGGACTGTAGCCATGTCTAAGTTCTCAGGGTGTGAGATGGCAGAGAACACTAGGAGTCTGCTCATTGGAAATGTCTGACCAATAAGATTGCTTCTCATAATCTGCCCTAAAACTTGCTTCAAGTGACTCCTTGAACTGCATTTCTCAAGCAAGACAAGACTTGGGTAATTGAGTTGAAGGGACACAGTTGGATCCCAGGCTGTCCTGCTACTATGGGAACCCAAGCTAAAGAATCGAATGCCCAAACCATAACGATACATAGATGAATGTATAGCCAAGGCTCAAATGTAGATCTATTATATTCAACATGCCAAGTAAAATGATATATTTTACCAACCATAAATTCTAAAAGCACTGTATTTTGAATTAAGTAGTGGTGTAGCAAAATTTGATGGAATAAACAATTCCCAAAACATATATAGATGCAATCTCAACCCTATGAGTTTTCTACATTTTGCTCTACTTTTGGGATGAGCTGAATGAAACAGATTATACATGTTTAGAGTTTGCCAGATTTAAAGCGATAATACTTGCATAGCTGGATCCAAATGTTAACTAGGTAAGCATCCAGTACTAAGAGAAGCAGTTATGAACACTGTAGACTATCCCCATGGGATTGGTGAAGGGAGGGCCCCCAACTCCACATTTAATCAAGTGTGGACTTATCATTCAAGCAAAGCTCCTTTTCGCTTTTGTCAGAAGTAAGGTGAAAAATAATGCATGCCCAGGAAGCAGGGTCATTGAGGTGGCATATAAAATAAATCATCAGACCCCTGCAAACTAACCGATTGAATGAATATCAAGAAGAGTTATGTATGAAACTAAAACATATTTAAAAAGACAGATTACAGAAGAGAAATCTATCATTGTTCATATCGTCCTACACAAAATAACGTCATAGTAGCCAATTATAATGCAAAACAAGAAAGGAAATTAGATCATACTCCCTCCAATACTTGATATAAGGTAAAGTTAACCAACTTCGTACTTATTAGGAAATGATACCTTTGTGAGAAAAAATGCAACTTTCTAATTTTACCTTTCTTCGCAGTTAATAACTATCATAAGTTTCTGTTTAGGAATTCAAGCCATAATACATAAACAAGGAATAAAATTATAAAATTGTAAAAAGAATGAATTACTCCTTATATTACAGAAGTAGTTAAGCATAAGCCCATATTAATATGGTCTAAAGCCAGGATTCTTTAAGCTAATGAGTTAAAAACATCACATAAAATAAACGTGTGATCAACCGTGCTGTAGTTTCATTCGACATGTTCACCTAGTGATACACACACACACAGGTCTATTCAAAACACAAGGAGTCTACAGAAAGCGAAATTACCAGAAAGAAGGAATTTCATAGAATTTCAATTCAAGCAAATGTTACTGAAGTCTATAATTCCTTGCAGTTTCACTAAAAGTTCATCAGAACAAAAATATCAGAAGCTGCTTAGCAAATCAAGGTTTCCACTTAAAGTCATATGGGCCGTTTAAGGAGATCATAGCGGTTTAGGTTTTCACAGTTTTAGACACTACTCTAACAACAAAGCTGACAAAAAATCACAAATTAAGGGCAAAAATTCACATCCAAAATGCCATTTTGGTCCCTCAAAATTCTTTACCCAGCATAAAGAGAGAACATTCAGGTGGGTCTATGACTCGCTGACAGTGGATACCCTAGCCTGAAGATGGTTTCAGCCAGTCCTACATTTTCAATAGCAGTTCAGCGCCCAATTCTATACTCCAACCTAGAGCTGGGAAAATGGGCCAACCCACAGGTTATGGGGTTGCCCACTGTGGGTTGGTAGATGTGGGCCAAAAAAGGGTTGCTCCCCGGCAGGCTAGGATTTTCTCAACCTAGCAAGCAATCATGTACTTTTTTAGCTAATTCAACCCCAGAGTGTGGAGGCTCCACCTTTGTAAATGCAAAAATTTTGCTATTCTGTTTCCATTTCTCATCAACAAAATGTTCAATTAAGAAAAGATAATTCTCAAAAGTTATTACTGTCCAACAATCAGAAGCCAAGCATGCCTTGCTAGGACTCTGCTATAAATTTTTTCAAGTTCTATTTTTGACTAAAATAGAAATTCCAAGCATCCACTATAGCAGTTTTTCTTGCAATGAACTTGGAATCAGGATTCAAATATTTATGTAATTCCTTAATTCTTTCATACTCGACAATAGAATGAGGGAGATCATGTTGAATGATAGCCATAGAAACTATTTCTTGAACTTTGTTATGATCAATTTGCCAAGCTCTAAGCTTCCCAGCCTGATCTAATATCATGGAACCAATGTCATGATATTTTGGAAGTGATGAACATGCATTCACCTAATGCAAAGGATTGAAGTGCCATAATCCTTACCACTAATAGCAAATGATTTTCCACAGCCATTGCATGTAGCCTTCTCTTTTCCATCTACTTGGCCAATTTTAATATAAAACTTCCATACTTCAGAGCGGATGCAGATTATTTTTCAACACTAAATTGATTATCCTTAGTACTAGCAGACGTCATGCTACAACATAAAATTAATTCAACCAGAAAAACATATTCAATTCCCGAGTTCAATCAACCAGCCAGAGTTCAATCAATGCAACTAAGTATTTCTAAGTATTAACCAGCCAGATTATTTCTAATTATAATCACCCACACTAACAGAGACACATATTCAGGTGTGAGATTTGATAATAATACCTGGATGGAGCTCGAGCAGACGCCGCTCGAATCAGATTCAGACGAGCTCAAATGACGAGAACAGACTTGAATGGTCAGACTTGGTGGTCTCAGTGACTCAAAGGAGATCACTGAAATCAGACCAGGGAGATCACTCGAATCAGACTCGAAGGAGGAGATCAGAAGCTACAACCTATGATTCCATGGAATCCACGGAGGTGAAGTCGAAGACGAACAGAGGAAGAAGTGTGTGTCTGCGTTCTGGGTCGATGGCTCGAATGCTCGATGCGAAGGGAGGACTAGATCTGGAGGTGCTGCCGTGCAAAATGGCGATCAGCGGCAGTGAGAGCTCGAGGGAGAGGAACTTGTTTCTAGGTTTGCGTCCTCCTTCCGTCTTTCCGGTAGCCGTCGTCCGTCGATAGGGTTTGGTTGGGTGTGGTCTGTGGCTGTGTGGTCGTGTTCGAATTCGGTGTTTACCGGCGAGGAGCAGTCCTGAGTCCTGACTTTCCATTTTATTTTAAAATAATCTTTATCATTTATTTAAATTAATTTTTAAATATTTTTAATACTATATTTATTGATGTAAAAATATAAAAATTTTAATATTAAATCTTAATTGTTTTTAATATTAAATATTAAGAATCATGGTTGATAAATCTTAAAGAAAGATTTAATATTTAAAACAATTAAGATTTGATATTAAATTTTTTATATTTTTATATTAATAAATATAATATTAAAAATATTCTAAAATTAATTTAAATGAAGGACACATATTATTTTACAGTAAAATGAAAAATCAATACTCATCACAAATGACACAAATGACAAACACTGAATATGGATGTTGTCAGTCTCTTTACGAAAGATTAAAAAGTTGTACTTGAATTAGGGCTGTGCAAAAGTCTCCCAGTCCTGTCTGGTCCAGTCCAACCCGAGATGGTCTCAGTCTTGTTCGGTCTGTATAGTCACTGGTAATTCAGGACCAAAAGGACTAAAAAGACCAGACTATTTTTTCGGGTTGGACTGAACAAGAGACCAGGCATCCGGACCACTTGGTCCAGTCCAGTCCTATTAATTTTTTTATTATAATTATAATTAATTTATTTTTGACAAATGTTTAAAGTGTAATTGATGCTAAGGAGATGATTGCATAAAGATTTATTAAGTTTGTTTCTAAATTGTTATTGTAATATAGTGTTGTTGAATTTTTTGAGTACTGTTTTTATTAAAGTTTATAAATTTAAATAATTTAGACTATAACAAAAATATTTTTTTTCTTATTGTTAGAAATTATTATGGATTTATTATTATTATAAGTATTTTTACTATCTTAATTGAGTTTATTATGTTGGAATGGATTATTGCCTCTCATAGAATAAAAAGAGGGAAAAAAAGCTAAGTGAGTACTGGATTGACAGGACCAGTCTCCCAGTCCTATGGACCAAGTCCGGTCCTGTTAATCTTCGGGTTATTACTGGACAAGACTGGACTACGAGTTGCCTAACCCAGTCTTTTTCATGAAAGAGACCGGACTTCGGGTTAGGGTGAAGTCCAGTGCCGTCCAGTCTTTTGTGCAGCCCTAACTTGAATCAAGAAGGGACATTCAGTTTCAATGCTTATCACCTTTATGTTTCCTTGAACGATTAGATTTAGACCATCTAAATTTTAACCAAGATGATCCATATTTAAAGTTTTTATTTTATATTTTTAACTTATATTCATTGAAATCAAAATTTATAAGAACTAGGAAGATTTTTTTGTTTTTCTCCAAAATATTCCTATAGTTGATAGTTATAAAACTAATTTCTCAATAAATTTAAAAGTTGTTTAAAGAGTTGTTATCTCTCAATTGATGCTCTTCATACACGCATTTAAGAAATAGATTTTCAAATGATGCTAAGAGCTTATATCATCGTTATCTAGACCATACCCACTTTATGAATTTTGAAGATTTTTAATAAATTTATTCATCACCCATATGAAATGTATAAGTTTAATGTGAATGATCTAATTTAATGTTAAAAATTTTATAATTTTTTATAAATTAACTATTTAAATATACTCCCATGTCCAAAATTATAAGATAATAGTGGAGGAATTTTTTATCTAAAATATATAAGACAGTTTGGAAAAAAACCTAAAGTTGTATTAATGATTTTTTTTTAATATTATCCTTCAAGTGAAAAGAGAATTGAAATGATATTATAACATAATGATTAATTATATAGGAAAATTTATAGCTTTGTTTCAAAAAATAAGTTTATAAAGTTTCATTATCATGTTTTATTTGTATGTGTAATTTTATCTCAAATTATCTTATAATGTAGGACAGATGAAGTATTTTGGATGGTCTAAATTTAATATTAAATTTTTATAAATTTAAATTCTGGTAAATATAAAATATAATTTTAAATTTAAATTGATCTCAAGGGATGAAATGACCAAGCTCTTGACAAAAAGTAATTTTTTAAAAAAAAAAAGGGGAGAAAAAACTGGAGCTCGTTATGGGCTTAGATTAAATAGTGTAAGGTGAAACAAACCTGTATCTAGCTAAGCCCTATTTTTTTCTAACTTAACCCATTATTTTTTGACAAGTTAAGACTGTCTTATTAGCTTGCCCAACTCTCCAGAAGGCAGAAGCACACTATGATTGGAAGACGAATGACATGAATTTGAATGAATGTTTGATAGGTGAACAACATTAGTAATTGGAACCAATGCTTTAAAACTGAATCAAAAAATGAACCAGAAAGATCAATGGGTCACAGGTCTCATGGTTTAATCAGTTAGACTAATGGTTGAACTAATGGCATAATAATTAAATAAAAAATAATATTTATATACATATAAATTTAAAAACGGGTCAAAACAATTCAATCATTTTAGATCTTAGGTTTTTGCTCTTGGTCTTTTAAAAACCACCTAGGTTAACTTCCATAATGGGTCAAATGATTTAACGGTGACGATCCGACTGATCTAACCATTTGGGTATGAAAAGTAATGGTTGGAGTGGCATAGCACCAATGCTCTAGCAAATAAGGATGTAGACCACAACCCCAGCCCACTCTAAGTTCGCTGATTCTAGGCTAAAAAAACTGGATCAATGAAAATACTCACACTCTAAAAAAATGGATTAGTCATCACATTAAAAAAAGCCAAACAAATCAGGGATAGCTTAGCATGATTTTGTAGAAGGTCAAACATTTAAATGATCGCTTGAACATGTTGCAGTTTAACCAATGACCCATTGGGTTCATGGAATTATTAGGAATGCAATGTAATGTAATGGCTATAAATGGAATGTAATGTAATGGAGATTGCAATAATTTGTTTGGTATGGCATTTAAGAATGTGGGAATCAAATTTAATATGTATATTTTATTAAATTAACATAATACTCAAGAGATAAAACTAACCTCAACTAAAAAAAAAAAAAAAATCCTCCATCTTCTCCAGTGATCTACAAGGTCGACCTTCTTCGAGCAATTACCATAAAAGAAAAAAAATTCTTCCCCTTGCATTGCAATACAATCATCCTTCAAATTTAAAGACCCCTTCTTCATTTTATGCCCCTTCCAGTCACCGGATCTAGGAAGATACTGATGAAGCTTATGGCTATGACACCTATTACGAAGATCTTTGCTGACTAGGAGGGTAAGGGCATAAAGGCCAACCTATAACACCCAACATGTTGGAGATCTGATGGCACCCATTGTGGATGAAGCTTGACGAAATTATTGAACAAAAGGAAGGCTAACAATGCTGTCAGTGAACTAGCGAGGTTGCCGCAAAAAGAGGGCAGTGGAGATGGAAGAGCGGCTTCTAGTTTTTTTTAATGATAATATTGTTTTCATCATCCCGTAATCTTCTTTCATAGGGTCCATCTATGTAATCAGGATGCAGCCATTTAAGGGAATCATGATTACATAATGTAATCCCTTTCACATTACTAGATCCAACCAAACAACATGAATAAGCAAAACACATCTAGATTACAAGTAATCTTGAAGCATGTAATCGAACCAAATAGCCAACAAAAGTCTAAAATGAACAAGCCCGAGTTTCTTTGAGTTTGATTATTTAAATTCCTCTAAGCCTTAGTTCGCTTGCATAAAGGCCCTTAGTAATTGCTAACTTTATCAACATTTAAATTCCTCAATTCTTGAGGATCCGTGTAAAATTTGGGAATTGATTCCCCATCTTGTTCAATTTTTGTATTTTTGGGCCTAGGCCCTCTTTTTTACCAAAAAGAAAGAAAGAAAGAATTGATTTTTGAACCCCAAGGTTAAGGCTCCGGGAACTCACAATTGACACTTATTTGCTAGTCATGTGGGGTATTGAGTTTCATTGTTATCTATACTTTAAATATAAGGAACATTAAATATAAGCATTGAGTTTTATCAGATTTTAAAGGAAAATTATATCCGTAAGTCCTTACAATTTTACTTAGTTTTGAATTAAATCCTTACAATTCAATTAAATCCTTATGGTTTGACCAATTAAATTTCTCAATCCATAAAAATTAAAATCCTTGCATTTTTCCTTTAAAAAAATAAAATTAAGAACTTTTATTTTTTATTAAATGAGTATATGACTTTAAAAATTAATTATATAATTTTTATAACTCAAAATTTATATAATTAGGTTGTCTTCTAAATATTTTTTACACATATAGAATTTTCACAAAAAATTATAATAAAAATATAAATAGTGGATTAAATCAATTTTGGCTAAAAATATCAAAATAAATTTTTTGCAAACTCCAAGAGTATCTTTATTTTCTAAAATTTAATAATTTATTATTAATTTTAATCTTCAGGTTTAGCATATATAATAAATGAAATTATAAGGGTTTGATTAAAATAAAATAAACTGCAAGACCTAATTTAAAATTAAGTAAAACTGTAAGAAGCTGTAGGTATATTTTTCTGATTTTGAATTAGGCCTCTCTAATTTTTTTTTCCTTCATTTTTTTACTTGGTGCTTGCAATTTACTGTTAGAGACAAAAATCCTTCCGTTAATTTCCACTCCAAAGGCCATTTATGTGTGCTCTCAAAGAATGATGTAGCATTGAAGAACTGACATGCCACCAAATATTTTTCCGGTGTCGCCTCTCCCACTCTTTTTCAATGCAAAAGCGCTAATGTCTCTCTTTCCATGTAGAGCGCACTATTTTCAATGATGCTGATGATGTTGAGGGGAAGAACGACTCGATCGGCTGGTTCTATTTCTCCGGCAACATTGGCTCTCTCATCGCTACTGCTTCTGTGGTGGCATGGATTCAGCACATCGGGTAGCGAGGGATTTCGACTATGGCAATGGCCATTGCGTCGACATCTCCGCCCTCCTTCCAAATCCCTCTGGCGTCTCTCAACATCATTCCCTTGGCCTCCAAGCTTACTAGCAATAGATGTGGCCTCACTTAGCTTCAGCTAAGGTGCATTGACCTCTAAATCTCCGTTTTCTTAATTCAAAGGAGTAAGTTGTCTAGTGAAAATTTTCCTTTCTAGTTATCAGATACTTCAAAGCTCCAAACGACTTTGCCAGGCAACCACCCATAACCTAATCCCACTTGCATTAAAATCTTATCCAGATACATCAAGGGCGTTCCCATCACATCCTTTTTAAGGGTCCCAATGTCCACCAAATAAAAAAAAGAAGAAGAAGAAGAAAAACAGAAAAAGGAGGCCGCACAACAAAATTTGGATATTCACTACCGACCCCACCGCTGATATTTCAGATAACAACGCAATGTCTATCAATTGGGTCCAGAAATTCCCTGGTTTTGAACATGACTGCAGACATGATTGGCCTCCGGCTTTACTTATTTAGAATGGCTATTACTCCTCGTTTTTGACGAAACTTGAAAACAATGAACACCTCCACCCACTGCATCCTCTTCCATCCAGTAAGGAGTTTTAAAGCGGAACAGCTGGGCCCAGGATCAGAAATGTGGTAGACAATTACAAACTCGGTCGATTGATATACGTGCTGCCATGTTGGAATCTAGGAATGGCTGTTCGGTTCGGGCTTGGTGAGTGTAGCAGCATCTGACTGGGACGTACGAAAAATGGCTGAAGCCAGAGATATTGGCATGATGCAAAGTGCCTTGGACTGAAGGAATTGCATGGCAGCTCCAACATCTTCTTCCATCAGTTTCGCAACCTCTTGTTCCGTGCCACCATTTGACCACTTCTCCCAGGCTTGTCGATTCTCCCCGCTGTCAACGCCCTCACTCTGCACCACACACAACAGGACAATCAGACTACCAAGTTTGTTTCTACTTTCTGGACATATATGTACTGTATGCTGATACAGCTGGTCCCCACGCAAGAATGTGGCACAAATACTTGCCAGTGTAGTTCTTGAAAAAATTAACAGCAACAAAGGGAATTGGACGTCGAAGAAAGTAACATTCTAAGCGGGAGTTCCACAAATTTACCGCATCCATTGCAGACAAAGGAACATCAGCCACAAGCTGAGCTACGGCACCAGCTCCACCCAGTCTACTCATGCTAAGGACCTGTTTGGATATATAGGAATGATCAAGATCAGGTCGCATTCCAACTAGCGACACAATTTAAAAAAGGGGGGAAAAACTATGCAATTGTTATACGATTACGATCTTGCTGCGGATCTGTAATGCACCGCACGACGTCAATTCGGGAGTAACATTTTAACTACTTCAGATGAAGAGAATTCAAAGGTCATAGATTACCAGGCCCTAGGCCCTACCATGTAATCATGTATAGAATACTTTGGTGGGCTTAAACAATCGATGCTAGTTTCTTAAAACAACGATGGATAGTCACTGAGAAGACATCCAAGAAGGTTCGAGATAAACAAAGACTTCCTCGGTCACAAATATATTTTGAGAACTTCAGTAGTTACCTTGACCTGGAGTCTGAGAAACTTCACGTAATCCACAATTTCATCAAGCATCGCCGCTCTGTCCGTCTACAGCAACAATATTTCATAATGTATAAGAATAAAGGGATCACATATTAAAACCCAGTAGCATTTTATATTTTAAAGTTTAAAAATATCACATGTGCTCGAAATTTAAACAATTCATAGATTTTAAGAGCAAACAAATAAATATTAAATAACCACCGTTAAATACTATGATAACGCTTAATGCTTTATGTAGACAAGTATCATGTATTTCCTTGACATGAAGCAAAAAAAAGAAAAGAAAAGAAAAGAAAATGGAGCGTCAACACTTTCAGCGATGCGGAAGGTTAAGAGGAAAGGAAGCAAATTGCATAGCTTATAAAAACAAGGACAATTTTTAACATCCTGAAAATTTTTCTCCTGGTTTATCAAATTAATGAAGGGTGATAATGTAAATTTAAATATAATTGGATTTGAAGATAGTTAAAAACAGCTAATAAACCTATTGGATTTTGCTTTAGCCTTTAAATTAAATTTAGAAGTGAATTAGATCATTTGGGCTCACATTGTAAAAAGAAAATTAGAATCTAACCTACATTATGCTGTGGCATAATGCATTTACATTGCCGCATAATGTCGAAAGTAGCTTTTTAAAAAATGCAAAAAACATACGAAATAGAGAAAGACACCAAAAACAAAGAAGGGATGACAGAGAAAGTATTTTCTCTACTAATGCATCAACTTTTAAGTAATTTGAATATGACTAGAGCTTGATTTTACTTAGGTGTGCCCTTCTTATCTCTTTCTTCTCTCAAAACGTTTTGGAAGTAAGATTTAAGGTTAAGAACTAAGGATTTTTGGACCAAGATTATGGGTCGGAACCCATGAGTCTAAATAGGACTAATGAGAGTTGTTTAAGTATTCTACAAATAGTTTAAAATTTTTTACAAGATTGTGAGTTTGAGTCATTCATTTTGGATGAATCCTAGACTGCCAGAGTGTGATTTTGAATTGTTAAGTATTATATTAGTGATTATCTAAGTTAATGAAAGCTAAATAGAGTTAACGAGAGTTAATAAATCTAGTTGTCATGCTTAAATGCAAGAGATTGAAATTTTGAATTGTTGAAGTGTTGATTACTGAAGTTGGAAGAGTGTTTATGATAATATTAATGACTATTGATATGATTAATTGTAGAATACCCATACATTGGCACCATTCAAGTTTTATGAAGTTTTGGAAGTGTTATCAAGAGGTAAATATTTTACTTCTCAAAGTCTTGAGATAATCAAGAGAAATTTTTTTATACTTGTGTATGTCAATTAGTTACAAAGTCTTATAATCATTTTCTAAATGTGCGAAATTGTTTGATGCAAGTGTGGCAAGTACAATTTGAATAATTATACAATGACATTGGCTCATGAATTTGTTTGGGAATTGGTTGTATGGATGAAGCATGTGATATGTGGTGAGTTAATGTGATACAATGAATAATTTATTTGACAATTTGTGAAATGATATGTGTGTGTGTGTGCACGCGCGCATTATGAATAATGAGAGAAATGATAAATTGAAGAGTTCTATGGCAATATGGAAATCTTGTGAGTATATGACATATGAAGTTCAATGATATAGTGTGATGTGAGTATGTGGCAATTACAAAATGATGAGTACAATGATGATGTTAAACATGCTCATATTGGAAAAATTTATGCATTCTTTAAAATGTCGCACATGTGTATTATATGATTGTGTAAGACAGGAGTTTACTTAAAAAGAGGAATAATAGATTAAAATTGACGTGGTATGATCGTCATTTAATGCACATGTTTGGAGCTTGATGAGAATTTTGGATAGCTAAAGTGTTGATTAATGAAGTTGGAAGAGTGTTTATGATAATATTAATTATTATTGATATGATTAATTGTAGAGTAACCATATACTGACAACGAACTATCCCATAAATTACCAAAGGACTTGAACTTAAATTAGTTTCTACTTATGATTACCATATTTTGTTCGGACTTCTAAATATAAATTAAAAAGGCAATAAAAATCCTAACAAATAAAATAAATAAAAAATAGATTTAAAAAATATAATAATTTCAAAAGAAGAATCTTCCCTTTTTATTGACACCAAATCCCCACAATTATATCCCATCAAATTTAATTTAATTAAGGTAAAATTAAAATATTTGAAAAGTCAAATTAATTAGATTCTAATTTGGTTTGATTGGAATTTGATTTAATTAAGGAAAAAATTTAAAAATTTGATTTAATTTGAAAAGTCAAGTAGCAATTAATAGGATTCTGTTTTCATGTCTTGATTGGGTCCTTGATGAAAAGAAACCCTAATTGTGACTATAAACGGGCAAGAAGGGGTTCTTGTAAAAGGAAAAAAAAGAAAAGAAAAGAAAAGAAAAGATGGTAGAGAGAAGAAGGAAGAAGACAGGTTGATCAAGGTAAGTTTTTGTACATATCTTCCCTTTTGCTTCTTCATGCTAATAATTTTTGAGTTTTGGCCCTGAATGTTTTATTTTTATTTTCACTCCACTATAAGACATATTGTCCCTTTTGAATAACCTTGATGTCTATATTGATTTAATCACGTCATCCGTTCTTGAAATACGACACTCCCCACGTCAAAAATCATGCTTGGTGCATCGTAATATTTGCCAATACCAAATCTCAACACTTGAGCGTTTGAGTTGGGTTTAAATTAAGGGATATTGATTTCATAATTAAGTTGGGTTTAAATTAAAGAATATTGATTTCGTAGCTGCTTTGTATTGGGGGCTAGTTTTAAGAATGCATCCACTGAGTCATTTGATAGTGCTTAAATATTGAATAAACATTGATTATCGGTTGCGACAAATGTTGTGATATGAATCTATTACCAAATAATAGTCAATCATAAGTCTTAAGATGTTAGCATGGTCCGATGTTTATCCCTGATGAGAAAATGCTCATAAATTATTTTATCAATTAATAATATATGGTTTTTTATAATTAATATTAGTTCTTGTAACATATAATCTTATTAATTTGTATGAGTGACCATGGATACCTAAAAGTTTCAAATAAGATATCGTAAATGATAATAACTTATTGCAAGTAAATAATAATAATAATAAAATCATTAGCATATTTTAGGCTATATCATGAGTTATACTAAGTTATCGTGGATCCCTAAAAGTGTCAATTGAAATACTGTGAATGACACTAAGTGATTGCAAGTATCAAACTTTGTATTAAAATTTTCTAATTTAGAAAATTTACTTTGAAAATTCTTTTAGAGTTTGTCATAAGTGATACAAAATTACCATATACACTCAGATCATCAACTAACAAATTGTGAGCAATACTAAATCACTGCAGGTTTCAATATTAGTTATTTTTCTCTTACCCAAAGGTACTTCCTTAGACTAAATTTTTATTAAAAAAAATAAATATAATTATATAAACCTAAAATAACATTCTTTTCAAAAAATAATAAAAATTTTAATTAAATAATAATATCTCAAATTATGTGAACTTTCATCTACATCGCAGAATACATAAACTTAAGTTTTGATCTTAGGTCAAGTCCTCACATACAAATAAATAATTTGTTTTCATTTTTTTATCTTTATTTTTACATATAATTAAAGGGTAATTAAGATATCATTAAAATGTCAATTAATTTTATGCAATCAACTTACAACAACCGTTCTTATGAATGAGTGTCGCGGTGAACCTAACATTTTCTCCATCCACAATTGACTCCCGAACTCTACTTTAATGGTGATTCCCATTTTCTTACATTTATCAACTCTCTCTCTTCGAGAAAGTCACAATTCAGGTGCGACACCACTTGTTTGACAAGCAGGCTAGTTTAAGAAGAACGACACCCTATAGTGTGGGGTTTGGGGGAAATTGTAACCCACAAGTGAGTTAAGTAACCTTGAATAGGTAGTTTCTCACATGTGAAAGGCTAGGATAGTCTCCTCACATGGACAAGCCTATTACATAATAGCACACAGTTTCACGTAGGAGGCATAAGGAAGATATAAGAGAAATGTGATTATAATTATGCATATTGTTATCAAAGGAATATGATTGTTTATATTGTGATCCTTGTGAGGAAACCATGTGAATTCGTATTATTAGCCATGTGAAATGTGAAGCAAGTCTTGTAAACGATAAATTAATAAATGTGAGAATGTTATGCCACTTGCATTTTTTAAATTAATTGATATGCACTAGCATAGGTTAAATATAACTTAGTTATTGAGTGGTTGTACTCAATTCTTTCTCTCCAATGTTTCATGTGCTAGCTCATCAAGATAGGACCAAGAGAAACAACTCTAAATGTATAGGCCTCATGTATTTTAAGAATTGATATATACAATTTATCTTGATAATGCCAACTAGAAGATTGCATGTTATTGCTTACTTACACTATTTGATTCTTGATCTAAGTTACGTGCTTTGGGCCTTAGATTGTATGTGTGTCAAATGCTATATTTAAAAAGGGTTAAAACATTAGTACAAGTGAAAAGTAAGCAAATTTGTGATTAATGGTAAATTATATGATACTTTATGCAATTGAGACTCCCCTTTCTGTTTTTGTTATCGAGGAGTTGAATGTTGAAAATATTGTAAATGTGTTATGTATATGTTGTGGTGTACTGCACTAGTATCCTTTAACCTATTGATTGTGGTCTAGGATTAAGTTTATACTCTTAGCATTGGATTAAACATTGGGCATCCAAGTCTATTTTGATCGTAAAAGGTGTTAATTTAAAAATGAATGTCCAATTTTTCATTAAGAAATGATTTAAATGTGAAACTAATGTCATTAGCTAAAATTCGAAGAAAGCTTTATGTAAACATTTAGATTACTTCAATTGAATATTAGATAAAAAAATGAGACGTATTGAAAATTTGGCCAGAAAGTCTGCCATCATGGGTTTTGTTGTCATGACAAAATATCCTGACAATATATAACTGTTATGGGTTTTGCAACATAAAATTTTATACCGCAACATTATGTCAAATTTTCTAAAGTGTGCTTATTGTGCCTTATGTTGTGGCATATTGTGCTAGAATTGCTGTTTTTGACTCTTTTAACCTTAATTTAATTTGTTATTTTACCTTACACGATTTCCATGCTATCTATTATTTAAATATTCTAATTTTTCAATTAAGGTTTGAACTTAAACACATTTTAAAATTTTTAAGTAGAAGATTTGGTTTATCCTGATTACCATGATAGTGTGTCATATAAGGTGTGTTCCTAGTAGTGTCAAGGCAGATATTACACAATTGGCAAAATGACTATAGATGTCTGTGCATAGCAAAACCACTAACCTTATTGGCGCTGGGAACTAATTCCTGCAAAGCTTTCATTCTATCAGCAATTCTTTCACGGCGCAACTACACCCAGTACAGAAGCAGAGCATGAATCCTTTGTAGCACAGATGTATAGAACTTTCAAGTAAAAAGAAAAAGGAAAAGGAAAAGAATGCAGAGGTAGCCGTAGATGAAAAGGAAAGGACTACCGAACTAGAAGAATGTCAACAAATTATGATACAAATTCATCCCATCCAATATCAATAGGGTCAGAAAACCTGCTGAAAGGACTTCTCAAGCTCGCAAATAGCGCCATTCATGTGACGCTGAAGAGGCAATATACGCAAACCAGGCCATAAAATTTTATCATCACCGACTTTCCACACCAGCTAACACAGCTTTGAATTGGTATTTTCACACCGTAATCTTGCCAACTCACTTCTTAGAACAAGAAAGGCGGCCATAGAAGTCAAAACTTACAATTTCCAAAACAATTCCCGATTCAGAAAAATGCAAGGATTCAGTAATAGCCATACTTACATTTAATTTACGAACTTGTACTATTTAGTAAATTGAATTTCTATTAGCTGTTGATTTTCTTACACATTCCAGACACACACACTCGCATATTCAGAAAGAGGGAACTGTACATCTAATCAGGAAACTTTGAGGGCAGACAGAACACAAAATATATGCCTTACCCGTTCAGCAATACTATGGGGATCTGTGGCTTGCCCTCTTCTTGCTCGCACTCTAGGGCGGATGGCAGGTGGTTGTGGCCCAGCAGCAACAGGCCCCGGATTTTGTGGTTGGCTATGAAATGGCTGCATTGAGATCATGAAGTAATCAAACTATTAAAACAAGCAGCATACCTTGATACAGTAATCAATGGTCAAGGGAGGCTAGTCACCGTGATGATATATTTCCTTGTATGAATACCAGAAAGTAGCAACATGGCATACATGTGTTTGGTTTTTAATTTATCAAAAATTCATTTAAAAAAAATTAATTTAATGAAAGTCAATTGTTATGACAAAATTTGTGTTTGAATATGTTTTTTTCAAAAATTAGTTTGATAAACTGAAAGTTATTTGATTATGATAGTAAAATGTGCTTTTGAATGTACAATTACAAAAACGAACATTGATTTATAATGATTTGTAATTTTCATTATACAAATGTAATATATTTAAAATATTTAAAAAATATAATAAAGATTTTAAATAACATAAAATTTGATCTCTGATGACAAAAACTTGATATTTAATTATTTTTACGTTTTTAATTTGTAATTTTAAAAAATATGATAAACATTTGTAATTTTTATTATACATTAATGTTAAAAATTAACATGATTAATTATTCAATTTATAACCTTAAAAACTTGACATCTAATTATTATTTAAATGATAATTATATTTTTAATAAATTAATTATTTTTAAATAAAAAATAAGAGATTAAATTTAAAGTAGTATAGTCAAATAATATTTCACTTTTTAAATTCATTTTCAAAAGTTAGAGCTTTGAATTTTTCATGTTTGAGCCAATATTAAAAGTCCTTTTTAGTCCCAAAACATTATCCCAAACAGTTTTTCATATCTCAAAAAAAAAAATGCTTTTGGGATGTGAAAAGTTGATTTAGCAAACGGTGTCTAAGAGAAAGAGCCAACACGTTTGGAAGATATGGCAAGAGAATAAAAGGCTTCTGGATAAATATTATGGTAATGACCATCCATTGATCGGAGAAATAAATGCAAATCTGTTAAATCTGTGTCTGCTAGCTGCTGCTTCTAAGCAGGATTTTGCTAATATTTTATCGCTGTTGTTCTAAACCTCCTGCCATGATTTTGTGTATTTTATTCTAACCACTCTATCTTCAAGTGTTCACCCAGAATTTGGCTTTCACAGGAGAAAAACTCCCAAACAAACCAAATTCTTGGGCAATAAAAACTTTGGAGGTATGCTCTTCAAGACTTCAACACTACTATCTCAATATTATTTTACATTAGAGCGACAATTTCTGGCATCTCATTTATGGAAGAATAAAAATAGGGGTTCCCTTTCCTTGTCCCATGTTTGTGCGCCTAAAAAAGTCAGACTTCTTGATGTAGAAACAATAGTCCAAACTAGATACAAGAAACAAAAGCTATTTTAGCCCTTCTACTTATTTATCACCAATTTCCTATCACAATCGCAAGTATAAAATTCTTTGTTCTAAATTTCAAGTTGAAGAGATACAAAAGTTAGAAATTACTTTTTTAAAGTTAGATTCACATCAGTATTAATATCTCCAAATTAATAAAAAATTGCAAAAGATCTGGATTCTTGGGTGACCCCCCATTGCCAATGCCAGAAATATTTATGCAACATCCACTACAAAGGACAAGGATTTTTTATTTTTTTTTTGGTTTGGTCAACAGGATCTTATTGCCCATAAAAGAAACGTGGATACAAACGACACGAGAGGGCTCGACTAATTCTAATGATTCAAAATATAATTAGAATTATAATTTTGCACATAACTATTAGCAAATCTATACTTCACATTAAAAATTATTCTTTTTATCACTCTAGCTATTCAGATTACATTTTCTTATAATTATTTGATATCCACGACCAGATTCAAGTATTGCCGATCGATCCCAACACAATTTTTTTACGTCAGTTTTGAGAGGAATAAATTTTTTGTATCCAATCCAACTTTTGTCAATAGAGTTTATTTTTGGAAAATATCATAACTTCTCTCTTAGTTGCTGTTAGCGCTGGTCTCGAGAGGAAAAGCAAAATGGAAAATTGAACACAGCATTCCCAAAAAATAAAAATTAAAAGGAAAAGAAAAGTAGACAATGGACGCATGGAAAGGGCGACAGCAGGACGACACATACTGTGCATGGGTACTCCGTAAGGCTAGGCGCACTATCATTCACTGGTGTGAAGACTACGCTCCTAGTAAAACGCGTAAAGAACACAGCCAAATACTCCCTCGTCACAATATATAAAATATTTTAATCTAATTACGCAAATCAATAAAAATAAATTATTTAATTAAAAACATAATAACATTTTAATTTTATTCTTAATTATTATAAATAAAAAATATTTTTTAAAATAAATTAATTAGAGCATTTATTTTTTTAATTCAATGAGGATATAATAATCAATTCATTAAAAATATATATTAACAATTTTATACATAAAAAGAAAAAAGATTTTAAAAGATCTCTTACAGACGGAGGGAGTAAACTACTTCGGTAAAGCCGGTGATTCTGGCAATATGGATGTTAAAAGGCCGAAACGAAACACCTCCGGAGAAGGCAGATTTGTCAAACCCCCAATCGCAAAGAAGGAAAAGGGAGATCTCATCTTTAAAATATTAGGAGTAGCTTTATCAAGGGTTAAAGCCATAATCAAGCATCTTTTTTTTTTTAAATCATAATTAAAGATATGGCCAGGAATGAAGCACGTAATAATAACTATCATTGAGGAATCTATGCAAAGTGACCCAACTTTAAGGTTTACTATTTTTCGTAGCGTCACACGCGATATGGCTTTTGAACCCAAGCAAAATTATTGTGCAATGAGCGGGCCTTTTGTTTCAGGGTCACATTACTATCTCACCCCGGCCTTGCCAGATAAGAATACCAAGCAGTTGAGGGCGATATGGTCACTAAATCAATTAAAAGATTACCTGATGATGGGGAGGTTGAGGGTGGGACGGCACCGTCGTCGGCCGAAGATGCAATGGTCCAAACGCCGTAAACAAGCCCGGCGTCCTGTGCACTGAGTCCCGATCCTGCAATACAAGCACAGCGCATAAAGAGGAAGATAAGGGAAAGGGGACAGACACTGGAGAAGTGAGAAAGAAGAATTACTTACAGAGATGTCAGGAGTGCGAGAGGAAGAAGTGGTGGCAGTATTGTTGGAGTTATTAAGATGGAGATGGTGGTTGGTGACATTGTTGGCCTCGATGACATCTTCACCGCAGCGGAGTCTGCTACTAGCATCTTCTCGGAGAAACCCTTGCTCCAAATTCAAGCCCAGAGGCATGGCCATCCCGATGCCTAAGGATTCTGTCAAGCCAGCGCCGCCAGAGCCTAACTGCAACACCATTGGAGGCATGGCGGAGCCCTCACCGTTGGCGTAAGCAGAAGGGGGCACGGCCAAGATCTGCTCCAAAAAATCGTCACCCAATCCCCCCAACGAATGGCACGCCATTTCTTGCGTTTTGCGTGGAGCAAAGCACTGTAGAGTAGTGGGAAGGAGATTACGGCGTCATTCTATTTTTGACAGGCAAAATGGAAGGCACGAAAAGCGGAAAAGGAGAGGAAGGTGGGGGTGAAGGAGGATGTGGAATGGAGATGCGATTGGGGAGAGGAGAATGTAGAGGGAGGAAAAGGAGGAGAGAGAGGATATGGTGACGGCCAGCAGGGATGGCTAATTTCAGCTTTATGGTTATGGACAGGTGCTGAGTGGGGAGCGCTGCGACTTTATAGGGTGACCAATGGTGAGAGAAACGCTGACTCAAACCCCCACAGCATACATGCGCCCACAAAGTTTGCCTCCTCTCGCCCTTCCTAGTCTTTCTTGCGTGCACGCGCCCCCCGGGTTCTGTCTCTTCTTTCAACCCAAAAAAAAAAAAAAAAACCAAGGCATCCATCCATGATCGACCATTTAGGCTTTCTATACCCAAAAGCATACTATTTGCCGAAGGTTTTCTTCTCCACACAACTTGATGAGATGTCTGATCGAACCTTTTTTTTTTTTTTGGGGGGGGGGGGTTTGGTTAGAGAAATAGAATTCATGTTTTAAACGATGGACTCGGAAATAACGATATTTTTAAAATGTTTAATTATTACTGCAAAAAACATCCACGCTTGAATCTCCAGTTTAGTGTAGCTATTAATTAAGGCAGCTCTTGAAGGACCAGAATCAAAATGGAGTAGCCCTTTCAGGCTCCATTATATCTCTAAGTTTCATTTTGATTGGTTCAGCCCTATTTTGTTTTCTATTTTTCAATTTAAAAATAAAAAAATATCTAAAATTTCAAACAAGTTATTACACATAGCATTAAATTTAAAAAAATAAATTTAAATTAATACACACAAAAATAAATTTAAATCTAATAAAAAATAACAACATCACAAAATCAACACTAATAACCAAATTTTGCTAGCATAATCAATTAAATTTTAATAATTTTGTCATCATTAATATCAATATAATTTCATCTTTCTCTTTGTGGAGGCTTATCAAAGACAAAGATATCACCCTTTTTATATATTCCTCATTCATCCTCATTAAAAAAAAAACTAAAGTTTTATAATTAGTTTAATATTTAATTTTTTAATATTAAAATTTAAATAAAAAATTATAAAATAATTTAAAAGGGATAGGGCCTATCCTTTAATTTTAGAATTTAAAAGGGAAATTTTTTTTAAATATAAATTATCATTTCACACTTTAAGTATTGGGACCTTGATTTTTTTTTAATTTAAAATGGCTGACATAACATAGTTAATTTTAATTGATAGCTCTATTCAAATTCTTGTTGACGTCTCTGAATCGCCTCTAATAATTCAAGGAAGAGTAGGAAGGTCAAACCCCCTCAAAATCTAGCTTTCCACGCACTAAAAACATCATAAAAACAAAGTAGTGTGTTACTTGATGGCCCTGCCATGGCGTCGGTGCTTCTTGTAAAATGTTGTTTTTCTCTTTAAATTATATTTTTTCCTTAAAATCCTTTCATCTTTATACTAAGATCTCTAAAATTCATGTGACACTAATTAAGAATAAAAACTACTTAAGAATCATGAAGATGAAAAGAAAACAAAGTATTTATAATATAAGATAAACTAAAAGAGAAAAATAAATTAAATAAATGAAGATAAACTCAAATATAAGAGATGGCTTCCTCGATTGCTAACAAAAAATTTCCAAAATATATGAAAATTAGAGAGTCTACCATGCACAGTAAAACAAAAAACAAAAAACAGACAACAGAGGCCTAACCTATTTATGTAAATAGGTTTAATTACGAGCTTAAACCTAACTTTTTGGTTAAGCAGCGGTCCCTGAACTATTTTAATATTTTAATGAAATTTAATTAATTTATATTATAGCACATCTTATATAGATTTTCTTATGTTGATATAAGGGATAAAATGATATTTACCTATACTTATGGAAATAGTTTATTGATATGACATAACATGAACTTTTTCTTTATTTATTAGTTTAATTTCCAACTTATAAAATGAAATTTTAAAATAGAATAACACAATTTGTATTCGTTATATTTTTATTTATACACACGATATACTTATTTATATCAATAAGTGTTTATTAATTATTATGTATATGTATTATTGTATATATAAATATAATTTAAAATATAATTAAGCGGACTTGGTATGCTTTCAGGTTAAGCCGTCAACCTTGATAAGTCTCTTGGCCTATTTCCAAACCTAAAAATCAATGGCTGATCAATTTACATTCATTTTAGACAGTTCTAGATTAATCTGATTTTGATTTATTTTGGTATGATTTTAGAAAATCAGGTACACTTAAAAACACTACATAACAATTTGGAAGACAAGAACAAAGAAGGTGAGAGCATTTGGAAAAGGAAAAACAATATGTGAAAATGCCAACTCAAGCAAAAGAGTTCAGAAAATTGCAAAACAATCCATATCTTTGCTGGTTTGGCCAGCTCAAACGTGAAATCACATAAGATTTAACAACCTTATAATATATTGGGTAGGTAGGTAGGTAATATGCAAGATCGATTAACCTAATTAAACAAGATTCTTGTCAGTTTAGCTTGTGGACAAGCACTTTTTCATCAACACTTTCACGGACTGAATTAGTGGAGAGTGCCAACCACCAAATAAGTTGGGCATAAGGCATTAGCCTCAATCCGAGAGACCCAAATGATCCACTTGGACCTCATCCTAGCTTTCAAAAATTTTCAAGCTCCCGACATTTTGACCGATGCCCTTCCAAATTATGGCCAGATTGAGCAAGCTTCCAACACATCACGACAACTCCAAGTCTACAAAAGAGCCAGGAATAAGAACAAACTTAAAAATTTTATTTAAATAAGAGTTTAAATTTAAAAAATAAGATATTTTTAGAATAATTGAATTTTTAAGTCCAGCCCAAATAAGCCCTAAAAAAAGGACTCAAGCTTAGACAGCCTTTCAAGTTCTATTTTATTTTTTTTTCTTCTACTTTCAAATGCATCATTTGGTAAATGAGGGAAAAAAAAAACCTTACGCATTCAACTATTCCAAATTCTCTAGCTCTCTTTGTCTCTCAACACAACCTCTCCCTCTCACTCTCCTCTAGCTATCTCGCCTTTCCCTCTCTTGACTCACCTCTTCCTCTTTTCTCTTGACTCAACATCTCTCCACTCATATCTCCTTCTCAGCGTTCTATTACTTTTGGCTTTTTAGCTCTCTTGCTCTCAAGTAGTTCTGCTTCTAGCATAGATTTTTTTAGGCCATAGATGTTTGAGATTTCAAATTGATGCTCACTTTTGATATTTCAATTTGATTTAAAAATTTTAATCCCTCATCTTATTTTGTAAGGATTATATTGATATGTCTCATATATTTTGTTTTTGAAATTTGGTTGTGAATTCTGATGGCATCAATTAATATGCATTTAGACTTTTAAATCTTTTATTTATTCTCTAGATGAGTGAGACCTTAATTTAGTTTTGTTGAATTTTAAAGTTAAATTATAATGTTGAATTAAATTATTTTCTAAAAAATAATATTAAGTTATAATTTTTTATTTTTTTGAAACTGAATTTTTGGGCCTAGCCTTGAGCCCTTTCAATAAAGGCCAGGCCTCGAGATTTGGTAAAAATTTTGGGAACAAGGCTTGGGGTATGGGCTTGCCTATTTTTTATCCCTATCTACAACTCCTTGTTTTATATGTTCATTTCTATTTACTATTGATTATTGCACCAGACTCTCTCCTCTCTTCTAATGTTTGACCTCAAGTTTTCAACATGATGAGCTTGATGTCATTGAGGCCATTTATTGCCCCCTTCAACTAGTTGGTTTTAGGGAAAATTTCAATTAAGGAATAAAGACGAGACTTAATTTCAAGTGGGTTTAAAAATATTTTAAAATTTTAATTCAATCTAGGGGAGAAAAGTCAAAAAAACTTTGACAGTGAAAGATCAAAATGCCCTTCACCTATTATGCAGGATCACTAGTTATTAATTTTCTCACTCCACTTATTAATTCATATGTCGATAACTATATAAAACTTGACATTAGTTTTTTAATTATAAGCAGCAAAATTATTTATTAATACTAACTTTACTTATTAATTTACTAATATCAGTTGTAAATTACCAACATTACCAACATGTTGTGTTGTAATTTACAAATGATATTAATAAATTAATAAGTAAAGTTAGTAAATTAATAATTAATGTTATTGATTGTCTAACAAATGAATATAATTTACAAGTGATATTGGTAAATTAATAAGTAAAATAAAAAAATTAACAATTAGTGATTTTGCATAACACGTAAAGAGTATTTTGGTCTTTTCACGGTCAAAATTTTTTTGACTTTTCTCCCCTAGATTGAACTAAAATTTTAGAATATTTTTGAACCCACACGAAATTAAATCTTTTTATTAATCCTCAACTGAAATTCTCCCTTTGTTATATTTTATCACTACCCCATCACAATTAATAAAAAAACCTTTTGTAATATACTGAGTTTCAATCTAAGAAACTAGTTGCTAATTAAGGATAAATTAGTAATTAGTGAGTTGATAATGATTTTAGATGGTGGATTAATGTGTGGCATTGATTGGTTGGTGTGATTACAGGATCGAATGGTAGAATTACAATTCAAGACATGATGCACAAGCATTAGTGAGAGTTATCTCACTGTGCACTCACCGCGACATGTGTTGCATGCATTATGGCATATGGCACAAAATTTGAATAAGTAGGGATATTGATCAGCTCATGGCTCAGATGGGGAAAGGGAGAAAATGTATGAAGGAGAAGAGGAGAAGGCCCATCTGTGCTAGGGCAAGAAGTCTCAAGAGTTTGAGAGTTTGCTCCGACTAGTTATTTGTTGGGTAAGTTTTGTAACACCTTGTACTATGTTTCTACCTTAATTTCTCTAAGTTTAGTTAATAGAAAAAATAAATAAGGAAGTCTTAAGGGGTTAAAATTTGAGGAAAAGCTTTTTAAATTGCTTTAGGGTACAAAACTAAGATTTTATGACTAGTTTAGAGTTTAATGGTTGAACTTTAAGAATATAGGCTTAAATTAGTCTAAATTATTTGGTTAAGAAAGGTGGAAATGCTATTTAAATGAATTAGGATGATGATTTGGTCATTTGATGGCCCAAGAACACATAACTGTGATGAATGGGGTAGTTGGATCTAAGAAGTGCCATTAAAGTTGTCATAAGTACTAAGTGGTGTGGTTTGGTTAATTATGTTTTACCTTAAGTG